GTTTTGTTGTCTCTCTCTGAAAGCCACACTGCCCAGAGCAACGTGACGGCTGCCGTCGGGGACCAGGAACTGAGTCACGAGTCTCTTACCCCAATGGCTCGAGCCACTGGTTTTTCTTCTAAATCCGGAAAGAATACCGAAAGCATCTAGGAGGTGACACTTTCCAGTTCCCTCTTCACCTGCACAACAAGCTGCGTGTTCTCATCTCGACTTAAACAGTCGGGACCTGGATAAGGTCTCAGCCGTGAGGACAGACGGCAGGTTCCCAGTGAAGACTGGCGGGCACTGGGGCGGGTTTTGATTTTCTGCTTCTTCTTCTTCTTGGTAGGAAAGGGATCAGAAAAAAGAGCCCGGCTGGAGGGGTTGTAGGAATGGGGCCTCAGTTGCTTTGGGGCCCCATTTCTCAAAGGGCCTCATTAACTTTGACTGTGGTCTTGGGTTTGGGGCAGCCAGTTATGTGGCACTGTATAGCTTCAAATTCGTTCCCAGCCTCCTGGGGACAGAGGTCATTGTCAAAGGCAGCAGGAGCCCAGTGGCTTGCTCTGGACCTGGCATTCCAAGAGCAGGTCACTGTCCAGTCAGGGAAGGCGTTTGGGCTGTGCAAGAAGCCACCCTCGTGGTGCAGGGAAGCTGGGGCCCGAGGGCTTGAGCAGATCTGCCCTCCTCTGGTCTCACCCAGCCCTCAGAGCGCCGCCTATCCCTGAGGACCAGCGCTCAGGCTCCGGCACAGAAGGTTCTCTGGGTCTGAGGACCACAGCGGCTATGGAACTCTTCACAATTCCACAGCTGCCGTGGTCACTCAGACACGGAAATCCACGGTGCCAGGTGCAGGGCTGAGGGAGCCCGATGGCCACAAAAATCTGCCACCCCAGGTGCTGCCTAGAATCTTCTAGAATTCAGCCTGCCTCCCTCCCCACTCCGCTCCCCCTTCTCTGCCATCTCTTTGCCCCACACCTATTTTCATCTCTTCTGCCAAAACTGCCCCCTGACCCTCGTCCACTCCACTCTTCCCTCTTTCTTCCTTCTCTGCTTCTCCCTCTCACTTTTCTCTTCCCTCTCCTTTTCCTTCTTTCTTTCCTTCTCTCCTCTCCCCATTGTCTTTCTCCCTCTTTCCCCATCTCATTCTCTTCCATTTCCCTTCCCTCCTTCACCGGAGCACGAGACAGACCGGGCTTATGTCGGCGAGCAGACGTGACCCTTGGATGTCTGCTCACTGTCTCACTCACTGTCACAGCAGATAAAGACAGCGGCTCCCCTGCCCACCCCCCACCTGGGCTGAGTGTGTCCCACGTGCCCGGGGAGGCACGTGTGTGTGTGTGCGTGCATGTGTGTGTGACTTCCACTTTCCAGTGGAGTTGTCCTTACCCAAGGTCACGCAGCTGGCAAAATCTGGAACCAAACCAGCTGGGAACAGAGGGCTCGGCCTTGGCTCCAGGTCCCTCACTGATTCACCCCAAGGGCCAAAGGCCACATGAGATCAAATGTTATCCAGACCGTGGGAAGGGAAGGGAAGGGGGCCCCTCTCCTCGAGAAGCCACATCGCCTTGCCTCCCTGTCCTCCTGGGGCAGAGTCCATCCTTCCCCAGGGGGTCCCACACCCAGCCAGGTTTGCACACACTCGCTGGTGTGAGCTCCGGCGTCTGCAGGTCTCGGCTCCCACTGTACTTAAAACTGTGTTTCAATGAAGTTAGTTTAATCTTCCCTGCCCATCTCTGGTTTATTCTAAGTCTGCAAAGGTGGAGTAAGACTAAAGTCACTAAACGCCAGGATGCCCCTCTTCCTGACCGAAATGGGGCTGTCGTGGGTCACAGCGCATGGCCCTCCTTCTCTGGTCATTCTGCAAAGAACAAAGATGCGGTGGCGGCTCTGGCTGTCACAGAAGGAGGCAGCCCGGGGAGGAGAGCTGGGTAGTTAACACCAGGCAGCAGCAATTCAAGCCCTCCTGTCTTACTTGGCAGTGTTTCAGCCAGATTCCTATTTTGGGAGCCTCATTTTATTTGGTGGCCCTATAACAACTCAGGTGGAAGAAATGAGTTATTTAGAAACTGGCTAAGCTCAGAAAAGAGCGTGAGGTTTTGCCTCAACATGAAAAGAGGAACTTGAGTTAAAAAAGCCGTGATCTTGTTGAAGCACCGTCAGGTCTGGGGCTTCGCCCAGCTGTGTGCCTGCTTGACTTTGCTCCCGTACACATCTGCTCTTACCGTGTTAGCAAGGTGTGCCTTTAGAGGAAGGTGTGTCGTAGGGATGGGTACTTCCTTGGGCTGCCTGGGCCCCACTGCTCCCTATCCCCTGGCTACTTGGTGTTGGCCACCAAGGAGGTCACAGGCCCAGCGCTGGGGTCAGGAGCAGACATGTCCAGCAGGGCCGCAGGTCTTCTAGGAAACCTGTCCGCCTGTCATCCTGGCTGGACGTGGGCCTCAGGTAACCATGCTGTCTCCACAACTCTACCCCCGTCTCTGAGGGGTGGTGGGCCCTGCATCAGGACAGCCCCTCTGTGCGCAGAGATGTGGCCCTTGAAGCCTACACAGAAGAAGCCGCTGGTGGCTGATCCAACCAGGCTCCCTCTTGGGGCTGGGAACCCAGAATGAGCCCGTTAACGGGAGGGGAGCAGACCCACCGCGAAGGGCTGAGCCGTAGCCTGGCGGGCAGAACGTGCGGGCCCCAGGCTCCTCCGGTCCCAGGTCTCAGGCCTTCTCCCTCCTTGCCCTGTGCATCTCCGCAAAGGCTGCCCACCCCTGACACGAGTTAGCCAAAGTGCGCCTCTGTTCTTCGCGACCCCCCAAAACCTAGTGAGGCCCCCTGATCACAAAGCTGCTGCAGGACGGGCCGTTCACAGGAACACCTGACGCGTGGAGAGGAGAGGGGGGCAGACACGCGACGTGGTCTCACATTGAGGAGCCCCGGGTGCAGACTCCGTGCAAGAAGCCACAAAGCCACGTCTTTTCCCGCTCAAGGCCTAGTCATACTTAAAGCCTTCTTCACTTTGAAGGAATAGAACAAACCACAAGGAGAAAAAGATCAAACACACCGACCAGCTTTTAACTTTAGAGAGTTCAGACTCCTTTCAGCAAAGCACCTCAAGAATGCCACCCTGTCAAGCAGGGTCATGCCGCCCTCGACTTGGGAAAGACCATGGAGGCTGCTGAGGCCCGCTGCCTGCCCCACACAGCCCTCCCCTGGGCGGCCACGTCCCTGGCAGGGGAAGCCCACGTGAGAGACAACCGTTTTAATGGTGAGCGGCCACCAAGCACTGGAAAGGATGGTCATGTGCCAGGTGCGCCAACATTTGTTCCTGGTGAGCAGACCGAGACATGTGGGCATCCCAGACCAGCTAAGAACATTGAAATGGAAACTCTTTCGACAGTGGTGCAGGTGTGCGGATGGGAGGGACGGAGGCCAGAAGCTGCTCAGCCTGACCTCGCTCGGGTGGCGCAATTCCGCGTGAACCCAAACGTGCGTCTCTTGGCAAAGTTGTGCAGCAAACGGCCCCTGACTCGCAAGAAGGCAGCCTCACGACCACTTGGGTGTCTCAAGCATGACCCTCAAGGTCTCACCCCTGTCCCAAGTGGCTCATTGATTCAAGTGATTTCCTTGATCACCGGAAATACTCCCCAGGCATTCTACTCAACACAGCTCCCTCTTGGCTCATTTCCAGGGACGTGGGTCCAGAGACCTGCCGGGTCCCGCCCTTGAGTCCAGCTGCTCGTACTACGGCACCTCAGCCCGGCACGAAATGCTCCACCCCCTCCTGTTCTGGGGTCAGGGATTGTGACCCGTCCACTTCCACTTGTTTTTCTTTTCTGTTTTTAATCCTCACCCGGGGATATATTTCTATGTATCATCAGAGAGAGTGAGAGGGAGGGAGAGAGAGAGACATTGATGTGAGAGGGACACATCGACTGGTTGCCTCCCACAGGACCCGAACAGGGCCGGGGACAAACCGCAACTGAGGTACGTGCTTCTTGACTGGAATCAAACTCGTGACGCATTGGTCCGCAGGCTGACGCTCTAACCGCTGAGCCAAACTGGCCAGGGCTTTCCTTTTTTCTCTTTTAAAACTTATCTTTATTGTTGAATGCATTACAGATATTTCCCCCTCCCCCCCATTGACCCCTTTCTTCCACTTTCTTTTTAATTAAACCCCACAGACCCTGTCACTGCGTTCCAATCACATGGTATCCCAACCCCTGCCTACCCTGGCTGCTCTGGTCACCGCGTGGGTGCACTTGGCCTCGGTCCAGAGAACCGCACGTGACTCCTCCACCCTCATGTGGATGCTGAGCACGTCACCCCCTTCACCTGCCCACCCCAGCTCTCTTAATGCAGCCAGATAAAAACAGCTGCCCCAGCTGCTGTGACATTCAGCTGTCATGCACCGTGGTCACACAAAGGCCTGGTGTTTGTCACACAAACTGCGTGGAGGGTGGCCCTCCCAACGTGGACTGGCGCAAGGTGGTTTTTCTCCAACATGTCACAACAAGATCTACCCGTTTGGACTTTACCTGGTGCAACCGATACCATGAGCACCGGCCAGCCTTTGGCAGGACAGGGCTCTCCCAGTGGAAAGGCCCTGCTTCCTGCTCACCGACTGCAACCTGCTAGCCCCTCAGAAAGGACGGGTGATTCCCCTGCAAGTTCCCCTCCTTCTCTCCGTCCTGGTCCACCGCCCCCACCCCCACCCCGGCAGCCACCGAAGGAAATCACCGACACGCCACGGCAGCTCACTGTCCTTCGTCTCTGGGTCCTTCTTTCCCACTGTCCCCCCTTCACACCCGTGGATATAAACAATGTCTATTACACCTGCTGCAGCGTGCCACGGAGCAGGGGCACTTGGCAGGGTCTCAGTTTCCCTGCTCAGCCACCCCCACCATGGACTTCTAGGGAAAGACAGGCTCAGCCGGGCCTCCCTGTCTGGGCTGCTTGGGGCACATGCTTCTCTTCTTCCTCTTTTTCACACAGGCCTCGGTCAGCTCGGATTTCTAGGTTTGTTACGGGCTTACCTGAACAGTGAACTTGTCGTCTTCGGGCAGAATCCTGTAAGTGTACACGCAGTTCCGATACCTGGAATAGACGGGAGACGGCATCAGCATGCACGTAGGAACGTGTTCCTGGACACCGAAATGACAAGAACGCCTGCCAGGCTTAGGGCGCTGAGCATGAAGTCTCTGAACCTAGGAGCTGCTTGACCTGAGGGGAGACCAGCCCTGACACCCAGGGATCCCGCGTGGAGGCACAGCGAGCCCCGCCCCCGCCCTCAGCACAGGGGCTTCAGGAAGAGGCAGGTGGGCTCCTCGGGGCCTGATTTCTGCTGGTGCCTGGGGGCTCTGTGGTCTGCTCGGGAGCCCCTGCCAGCTGGAGGACTTCCTCTACCTCAGAGCTGTCGTGTTGGCCAAGAACAGGGCCAGAGGGGTTGTTTCAGGTAGAAATAAGGCTCCAGGGGGGCTAGCAAGGTGGGGACATTATGCATGGGTGTCGGGCATAGCCACAGAGAGGGGCCACACTGGCCAAGGAGAGGCTCGCTCAGCTCTGGGTGGGGCCCCTCCCTCCTGCTGAGCTCCCATCAGGCCCCGCGGCCTCCTCCCTGGACACTCTGCCCGTAGGATCATTCTTCCAAAGAACGGCCACCATCCCTCAGAGGCCTGGACTGAGGGTTGCTCCCAGTGAGGAAGATTGAGGGGCCCTGGATACTCTTCCTTCTAGAAGCTCCACCGCCCTTTTATTCAGGCGTCCCCAGAGTGAGCAGCAGGAGAAGGAGCTACTTTTTACTTTCCTAAAAGCTTTGCGAGAAAGGGGAGTTGTCAAGTCTGAGCACCTTGGGAGAGGAACACATTGGTTGGTGGTGCAGCAGGCCCAGAGGCACGAGTTTCAGGGAACACATTTGGGTTTTATACTCTTAGTTGAAACTGCTGGTCTGTTCTGTTCTCACCCACCATGATCTCCCCCATTTCCTCCACTAGAGAGTCTCATGAACCCTGAGCCGCCCACCCCTGCTGACCCCCTATAGGGGCAGGGGCCACACTCCAGCTCCCAGATATTCATTTTGTTGCTGTGATCAAGACAAGGAATACGTCAGTACAAAAATTTCACTTATTTAGCCTTTCTTGCATGCCTAGCACTTTACTATTTACAGGTGTTAGTGTCTAACTAGATTTTAAAACTGTCCACCAGTTTTAAAACTTCAAGACCATAGAGAAAAATATAAAATAAAAAACAAATGTCTCCTTCCCCTATTCCTGTGAGTCCAGCTTCTTAGACTGACTGCTCCTTTTTGTAAATCATTCTAGAACTTTTAAACATGCATGCAAACTTATATATGTATTTTTTTTTATCCTCATCTGAGAACATTTTTTTTTCCATTTTTTGTTCAGATAGAGTGGGAGGGAGAAAGAGGCAGAGAGAGAGAGAAAGAGAGAAACATCGATGTGAAAGGGACACATCGAGTGGCTGCACGACCCAATCAGGGCTGGGGATAAACTGCAACCGAGGTACGCGCCCTTAGCAGGAACCGAACCCAGGTCTCTGGACCGCAGGCTGACGCTCCAACTGCTGAGCCAAACCGGCCAGGGCTATGCATGTTTTTTTAATGCAAATAATATCATTCTATATTTGTTGTACAGAAACGTGCTTAGTTTTTCTTTTTAATCCTCATCCGAGGATATGTTTTACTGATTTAGAAAGAGGGGAAGGGGGGAGAGAGAGAGAGAGAGAGAGAGAGAGAGAGAGAGACATCAATGTGAGAGAAACATCAATTGGTTGGCTGCCTCCCTGTGTCCCAACCAGGGATGGAATCTGCAACCCAGATATATGACCAGGAATTGAACCCAGAATCTTTTGGTACACAGAACAACACTCCAACCAACTGAGCCCTACTGGCCGGGGCCAGAAATGTATTTTTTTCACCAAAAAACAAAACAAAACAAAACTTAGAGGTCTTCCCCAGTCCTGTTCCGCCGTGTGGCTGTGCAGTCGTTTACTTGCTCAGACCGTGCTCTCAGAAAAATGCTGCAGGGGACATCTCTGTTTCTATACCTTGTGTACACTGGGGAGTTCAGAGTTCAGTTTCGCCGTAAGTAAACTGGGGACAACAATAACATCTACCCTGTTGTTGTGTAGACTAAGTGAACCAATGTATGAAAAGCATTTAGAACACCCCCCCACACACACACACACACACAATGTGCTGATGGTTATTGGTGATCACGGACCAACCCTGGAGAGACAACAGCTGGGCTGAAGGACAGGGTTCTTTTCTGAGGAGCCTAACAATCTCCTCCCCCTAAGGTGGTGTCACTTTCTGCTCTACTAACCGGATATGCAAGTGTCTATGTCCCCACACCCTGCCAACGGCCTGTTATCAGACATTTCAATCTCTGCAAATCTGAGAGGTGAGCAAAAAATGACAGCTCTCTTTATGAGAAAGGTCGGGCATGCGCTCCTGTGTTTCGCTACTGGTATTTCTCTTCCTGTGAATTCCTTTTCCTGCCTTGGGCTCACTCTCTTTTAGAACTTTTGCTTATTTATTTGTGAGACGGATACATACTACAACATAGTTTGGAATTATTTATGTCTAACAGTGTTTATTCACTTCTTTGGAGGGGTGTTGTTTGTTTTTTAAGCTGTGTAGAAGTTTTACAATTTTTTTTTTTTTTTTCTTATCCTCACCCGAGGACATATTTCCATTTTTCGTTCAGGTAGAATGGGAGAGAGAGAGAGAGAGAAACATCGACGTGAAAGGGACACATCGAGTGGCTGCCACCCGCATGACCAACCAGGGCCGGGGACAAACTGCAACCAAGGCACGTGCCCTTAGCGGGAACCGAACCCGGGTCTCTCCGGACCGCAGGCTGACGCTCTACCGCTGAGCCAAACCGGCCAGGGCGAAGTTTTACAATTTTATGTGGGCAATTTTACAACCTTGAACAGCTTTTGGACCGATGGATGTTTCGGGAAAGTTTTGGAGAGTGTTGTGGGTCATTCTCGTTAGGAGAGTTTCTTTTTCTCTCTTCCTCTCACCTTTTTCATTCCCATCCTCCCGTTCCCGGCCCTGTCTTCAGAGCCTGAATGGCACCACAGTTGGTTTCTGTCGGAGACGGCAAGGTGAATCTCTAGTCCACTGCCCCTCACCTCCTGGACAGGTCCCAGGAAACAGACACCATCCCAGACCCCAGCCCAGCCCAGCCCCCCGCCCAGCACCTCCAGCCTCCACTCCCCTTTGCAGAGCCTGCCAGACAAATGCCGTATAGCTGCCCCCCCATCTTTCGCGGCTCAGTCCAAGTGACACTTCCGTTGCAGATATGCAAATGAGGGCAGGGCACAAACAGTCTCTGGCTGAGGACAGCTCGTTTGTGGAAGAGGTTGAGCAGGGCCAAAACACCAGCATGTCGATGGAAAGAAAGAACACAGAGTCGCAAGGAGAGGCACAGAGACAGTTGCACAGAACAGGAAGGCCCTTTCTGACTTTCTTCAAAGATGTTCTAGGAACTTTGTTCTGCTGAAACAAAGAAGCAGTACCACGTGACTTAACTAGATCAGAATTCAAAAGCAAGCATAGTAAGAAGAGAGGATACCGTGCCCTTGACAGTCACCTCTCAGCCTCTCCAGTGCAGGGGGCAGGCCCCGCATTCCTGGGGCTGAATCCGCTTAGATCTTCAGGGGAAACTGCCACACAGCCCACGGGGGAGCTGTCGTTCCAGACTGCACCCCACGGGGCGCTGGGGCTGTGCAGCGAGGTGGAGGCAGGCCCTCCCCAGCACCCCCACCACCAGCAGCCGCACTTCAGTCTGGCCCCCTAGTCATCCACGTGTACATACCTGTATACAGAGGCGCACATGGATACATACACGTACACGTGCACATACGGATACAGATTCAGTTAGCCCTAGAGATACACACTCTCCCATGACAGTGCTCAGAGTGAAGGCTCCACAAGGAAATCATCTACAGCAACGGCTCCAGAACAGGGTCCGGGTGGCAGGCCCATTGCCGCCCGGGCCGTGGGTCCCGCCCAGCCCTACCCAGCTCTCTGTGGTGATTCAGTGACAGTGGAGGTGATGCCGCTGGTCCTCCCTGCTACTCCTTGCAGTGCCTGGGTCACATCTCAGGGTAACTGTGTTGGGAACACTCCCACTGGGGACCCAGGTGGGGATGGCACTGGGTTGCCAGTGTACCTCTGCTATCCAATGAGATCGCTCTGTTCTCAAATGAAGTGGCGATGAGAGCTCATTTCCCACGTGATACCAGACAGCCTGGTGACAGCAAGTGCCTCCACCCCGCAAGCGAGGAGGAGGGGAGGCAGGCGTTCCGATCGCCCCTGCGGGGCTCGGCAGCCTCACCGCAGAGCCAGAGGCTGCGGGAATAGCAGCAGGAGGGCACGGGCGCGTTTCATCGATGCTCTCTGAGAACGAGTCCTGGGACTCCCGCAGCGCGGACACCACGGTTAGCAACACTGCGCTGCGCGTTCGAAAGTTGCTAAGAGAGTCGATCTGAGAAGTTCTCATCACAAGAAGAAAACCTGTGTAACGGTGAGGTGATGGATGTTCACTTGACTCGCTGTGGTGATCATTTCACAGACAGACCAGGGGGCACCACTCGGCTGTACACCGAAGCTAATGCAAGGTTCTGTGCCAATTACATCTCAATGGGAAATTATTCTGTATGACTACATTACTAGCCAAACAGACACTGTAAGCATGCCCAGAACATCCTTAACCAGGGCAAGCCAGAGAGAGACAGAGACCTGGAGATAGAGACAGAGATCACCCTCTAAAATTCAAGAACATCATTAGCGTCTTCTCTGCTGATCACCTTGAATGCTTCTGTAATTATTTTTAAGCCCTTTAGTAATAAATTATACATGATTTCTAATTTCTAATGTTGTTTTGTATGTGTTTTCTCTTTTTCTTTCTTGTAAACTTCTGGACAAGACGGTGTGGGAGAACAAGGTCTGAGAACCTGACATTCAAGAAATCCCTGGAGCCCGGCCGGTGTGGCTCAGCAGTTCGATTCCGGTCCAGGGCATGTGCCTGGCTGGCAGTTTGTCCCGAGGGTCGTGCGGGAGGCAG